TGTAAAGGCAACAATCTTCGGAAAAAGTCTACTAGGCAAAGATTCCAGCACAAGGAGAGCATTGTTTTGGGACGTGTTACAGGTGTCTCCTTTGGATTGAGTGTCTCAGTCTCCTTTTCTCTCCCCACTTCAGTCAAGACTCATTTCTGTGAAAAGCTGAGCCACTGTACAGTTTCTTGCACTGTTTTGCAAGGCAAGGAAGAGGTGATGCACTGCCATCAGTACAGGCCATGACAGAGACCATGACATTTTTTGTTAAGAATCTTCTGCCTACCGCCAAGCGCTTTGATCAGGCTTCAATTTCTAATTAAATCCCAGCCTGTACTTTTCATACCATCAGTGTTGTATTATTTCTACTTCCTTCTCCCATTCGTTCTTTGTGTCATATGCTGCTAAACAGTAACTACTTAAGACATATCAGCAATATAGTTATCTATAGCCTAAATGTCTCCTGGAAACAATACCACAAGTGCTTGTGCTATGAAAGCACACTATTTCCTCTGTCACGCCAACAGGCATGGACAAGGCACAGGACTGAAAGAGTAGTTTTATAGGTAAGAAAAGTATATATGGGGATAAAAAAAATCTCCGAGCAGCAACATTGGAGCACTCACATTTTATTGACTTGCCTTTGTTTCTAGTTTCCATTTCAAGTAGTGCTTGTAATGATCATTTTTAATCGTTCTTAGCAGCATGGAGTTTTTATCGAACTACTACAAAGAGGTTTTGTTGGTTTTTTTTAGGTAGTCTTAGGAAAACAAGGAAGGGGGAGGGTTTCTTTCTGAAAGCACTTTCTTCCCCAATAGCCAATGGCTATCACATTCCAGTGCAGGCTTCCCTGCTGAAGGACAGTCTTGTTTTCCTGTTGTGCAGGCAAGCACATCCCTCTCCACCAGCCTTTATTCAGCTAACTGTAGGCGCCTGCAGACAGGATTACTAAGCAGCATCTACATGAGTCTGCTCTCAAAGAGCGCATTCAACTCCATTAGGGCACAATATTCCTGTTTTGCAATTAAGAAGCCTGAACATGCCATCCGTTATCTCCCACCTGCAAAGCCTAGGAGATTTCCAGCTAATTTCAAGGGACTGGCTTTGTCCTGTAAAGCAGCACGTACTCTAGGCTGCATGTGCATCACTGCCTCCTTGGCATCATCCTAAGAGCTGATGCAGATCTGAGGAACTGGACTCACTGGATCCCTGACGCACACTCCAAAGCTGGGAGCTTTCAGGAGAAGGCTCTGCAGTCCTGGAGTCTCTGTTCTCTCCCCATCCAGTCCAGCAGAGGCCACTTGCTAAGTCTGGTGCAGGCTCTTTCTCATCAAACTGGCTGAGTTGGGAAGACCTCACCTTGGTGCGTTTGGAGAGTCTCTTCATATTTTAGATGTGGCGTTTTGGATTAGTTTTCACTTGTCAAACTTTATAAAGCAACTTTCTTTGAATAAAAATAAGATAGTTTTTTTACTTATTTTCGTGTTGATATTTGGCATTTGTGATAAACCCACAACCATGCTGGCAACTCTGCCAGTAGCACACTTCTGCTGTCAAGGGCTTTTACAAATAATCCTTAAAATATCCAGCAGTAGTAGGTATAAGAGAACTCAAGGCAGTGCCATATGTTGTCACATCTGAAGCTACAGCAAACATTAACGTCAGTGACAGGGAAAAAAGCCAATTATGTTCTCTACCTTCCAGTTTAATATTGGACGTTTGCTGGAGGTCTATGTGACAAATTGAAGGTCAAAATCTGGGGCGTGATCAAGACAGGTGGCATTCACGGAGGTCTGTAGGTTGCCTGAACTGCCCCTCGCTGCAAGAAAGGATGTGGTCAGACCTCCTTATCCTAATTTTGTAAAGGTTTTCAGTACTGAATGGTTGGGTTTAATGCCCGTAAATCTGTTGGGATTTATTGCATCTGAAGCCAATGTAGGAAATGGAGGGAAATGAGAACTGATTGACAGTGGAGTACCATTACAACAAAAGGATCAAGGCACTTCACACTTTTCTAGTCTCTAAAGTGAGCAGTTAACCTGGGAACGTTGTTGCTATGTCAAAAAGGAGAAAGATGAAGATGAGCAAATTCCAGACCAGTGTGGCTATTTTCCAAGCTGAAAATTAATATGTGCAACTGCAGCAACAAGCACCACAGCCCACGCTCAGAAGTGCATAGTTGGCAGTGAACTACCTACAAAAGATGACTCCTCAGCTGGCATTAACCAGGTAACCAAAACCGGCAGTGGCTGATATCATGGAGATCTAATAACCATTTTAGCTTTTTGCTCTGTCTCCTCTTTCCACAGAAATCTGGCCTCCATTACCCTAAATATGAGCACCTTCCATTTATATGGCCTCTGTGCGTCGTTCAGCCTGCCAGAGTATTCATCCTAACCTTGGTAATACCCAGCCACCCTGGAAAACACTTTGAAATGTGACTTGCATTTACTGGCAGCATGTTATATGCCATTCCTCTCTTCTAGGCTAGCCAGTTTTTTTTAGACGTAGTCTAATTTCCTATTCTCTCCAAACTTCTGTACAGCATTTGTCAAGGCACTACATAGCAAATTACTATTTGAACTGGAAGAGATGAGGATTAATAACGGAATGACAGGGGTGAGCAAGGAACTGAATAACAGGCGTACAAACAGTGGGACACAGTGAAAAGCCCAGCAGCAGGCTGAAGGGAGACTGCCAAGCTGGCATCCGCCGGAGGGCAAGATGCTACAGGTTTTAATAGGACTTGGGCTCAACCTGTGACCGCTCCAGACCTTCTGGTTTCACAGCTCTCATAGGGGACTTCGGTAATAAGCATCTATTTAATAATTAAAAAAAATAAAAATCCTGACCTAGTTATTTCACTAATCTCATTACTCGCAGGCAGCGGTCCTTTGCTTTCGGTACCCAGCTGCACCCATACTAACAAGGCAGGATGGATTTAAGCAAGTGACACAATCTTCAGAAAAATGTATTAAAAATATGTATTTTGAGTAACTCACAATCAGTATTTGAACTATATATATTCTTTAAGCACCCAGAGTAACAGAATGTTTTTCCAACAGGAAAAACTGTATTTGATACCCACTATGAGTTACCACTTGGCTTTTACTCAAACTTACATATCAGACTATCACTAGTGTTGGTTAGCCAAGCCCATCAGCAATAGCTCATGAGAATGCAAACACAAAGCTACCAAAGCAGATGAGCATCTCTGTCAGATAAGAGACTCAAGTGGTAGTAGGTTAAAACTGCTACTGGAAACATTAGGCTGCAATGCCAAATCTTACCATAGGGTTTACCACCACTCCTGGTTTGCCAGCTGCCACCTACTTCCTAACCAAAATTCATCTTAAATAAGAAATCACTGGATCCTTTCAGAGAAGGACAGCAGGTGGGATTGCAGCAAGGACAGGCAGAACCGCAGGGGAACCCTGAATCACCAGGGCAGTTCAGGGCTGATGCCCACCCCGAAGCCTCCAGTCCTTCTCCCATCTTCATAAACAAAACCACTTGTTAGTCCTTTGGAATGTAAAAGCAAAAATCCACCGTCTAAGCAAGTGCCATGCCTTTGGTGGATTCAATTTAACAAAAGCACCTAAGATTGGTAAAGATGAAACTGGCTTTTCAATTGCTGGGAGTTACTGGAACCTTGGGTGCCAGCCCCTGCCAGCACAACAGGGGATAAATTCCTGTAAGCCTGCCTTACGACAGACAACTGAGGCCACGAAATAAATCAAGTCTGGACATTTCTTCGTAAGACACCCACCACAAATTCTGTTTTGCTGCATGTGGAAAAAAATGTGTTAAGTGCAAACATCCAAATACTTAAAAGTATAATAAGTGGGGAAGGAATGATGCCTCTGAGCTGTCCCAGGCACAATAAAGATCTCCAAAATGGGAATTCTAATCCACAACGTTTATTGCTTCGCTAATGCCAGCATCAGGAGAATTATATTTAAATCACCATGATTAATCAGCTACAGCAGACCCATCTTCACCCCCAGCGGATGCAGAAGCTCTGAGGTTTATTAATCTTTATCTGAGGAACAAATTGGTTTGTTGCATCCATTTATCTTGGAGAAATACCCCAACAATCTTTACAGGAACACTGTCCTTTCACAGATAGTGGACACTGATATATTTCAGTAAGAGCTGGTTTCATTTTTGTTTATCGCAAGTTTCACTTTCAGACTCCAGGAACTGCACATTCGCATTTTAAGCCCCACATGAAAGTGTTTACTTCCCTCATGCCTTGCTAGAAGCTTCCCAGGGGTAGTCCCAACCCTTTCACATTAAAGATAGACGCTTCTAGGAAATTACAGCTTTGAGAAGGCTGCCTTATGTTTTGCTGTTTTAAACCACCAAGAAGTTGACAACACTGAAAACTTCAAACAGTTAAAATTAAAACTGAAAAGGCTAGGAATCCAACATTTTAACCTTTTTTTTTTTTTTTTCCTTTTACATTTATGCAGTGAACTAGATGAATGTTCAAGCTTCCACCTGCAACCCTAAGAGGAAATGCTCACTAAAAACTGAAAGCTGAGAACCTCTACAACCATGTTTCCTGGGACGGGAGCTTTAAACACCCACATTGCACTGATGTCAGATAGCGCTGACCTAGCTTTTTAGGCATTTAAACGCCATCCCCACTGCAACAGCAGCAAAAAAACCCAAAACAAACACCCTATTTTTATCATGCATTCGGCAGTCCATCTGCCGTGCTGCAATGCCACTGGGTCCCAAAGAAGTGAAGGCAGATCCAGGGGAACCAGTTGTTCAGCGCAGTGCAGGAGTGAGCAAGGGGTGCCTGTCCCGGGGAGCTGAAGCTCTCACCGCGACCGTTTCATCCTTGTCACGGTTTCATCCTCGCCGTGCAGCTCATGGGAGGGCACCCCAGGATCAGCACCCCTCGTGTGGAGTGGGAACAACAACAACAAAGGACATCCCGGACAACCAAGTGTCTACAGTCCGAGTGCGAACGGGCAAACCCGAGAGACAATAGAGGCGGATGCGTGACGAGATGTTCCTGAGTTCCTCCCACACGTTTAATTAAATAGCACTGTTCACTAACAACCCTTTTTGTCCGCTCTTTTAGAAGTGGAAAAAGAAATTTCTGAATACTATTAGCATGCAGGACACAATCACAAATATTTAGACTTTTTTTTTGAAGTATAAAAATGATTAAAACTCAAAATGAGTAAAACTAAGAAAAGTTCAAGCAGCTCCACAAGCAGCTCTTTCCCACTATATCCCTCATCAGTGGATAAAAATAGTCAAGAGCTTTGCTCTTGTGATCCTGAGGCAACACCTTTTTTCTGCTTCCTGTAAATGCCTCTGTATCAATGCCGAAAAGTTACAAGCAGAGAAAAAAGTACCATCCAGCCCAGGGAGATAACCAGACGTTTGCGGTTTGAGCAAATAAAGCCGAATTACACCTAACTTCTGTTTTTTCACCTTATGCAGCACCTCAGTTGTCCCAAACACGTCTCTAAAACAAAAAGATTAATTTAGAAATAGGAACTTTACAGAAAAACACACCTGTGAGACTCGAGCAATCTCAGCATTTAAGCCAGCTATGTCTCACTGCGAGTTGAGTTACCTAAAGCCATTCAGCGCCTTTGTGCCTGAATTTCTCTCCTTGGTTCAGTTCCCAGGTTTTTAGGGAAAGTCTCCTTGCCCAGAGTGCTAACAAGTGAACTATTATTATAGCTGTTGCATTCAATTACAGAAGGTCATTGTGCTAGAGGTAGTTTCTGGGGGGGGGGGGGGTGGGAGAGCTGCATTTCACCAAAAACTGAACTGATAAGGAAAAAGAAACAGCACTGTTTACTCAGCAGTGTGCTGTGAGTCCTTTTGCCTTCATTTCTAAACAACTGAAAGTAGGCAGTTTAAAACATGCTGCCGTCCGATCTTGAATTTGTAATTCTAAATTAGAAACTGCAAGCAGCGCTCTGATATCATGCAATATCTATTTATTGTGGATTACAGATCCCAGCAGTGCTGGAAAGAGTTTACAGTTCGATTCCCCTCCAGACGTGCCTCCCAGACCAAAAAAAGGGTTTGCTCTCCCCGAGCCCAGGAACACATAGTTGGCACCTCCTCCAGCGTGGAGCAGCTGGGCAGTTGCTACCGTTTCTCATTCCGCTCGACATTACCAGCTATTAAATTATCCCAAGCTTCTTGTTCAAGCTTAAATTCTCCCAGAACAATTAAAAAGTCACCGAGCTGGGGGTCACAGCACATTGCCATTTTCTGTCTGGTGATCTTTGTCAGAGATGAGGTATATATAAATGTCTCTTTTTTTTGTTGTTTATAAACCACAGTTTAACACTCAACGTACTGCCCGCACAAGAAAACGGTTCAAAGTTTGGCGTGTTTTTAAGCAATGTAAACACAATTCCATATTAAGGACTGTGGAAAGTACCCTAAAACCCAACCAAACAAAAACCGCACAGGAGCACGCCACAAAGAGCCGCCCTGCCGCAAAGCCTACAACGACAACAAGAGAGTTTCTCTCCCCGGCTCGCAGTTTTGCTCCTTCCTCGCTCATAAAAAGCGGCTCTCACGCTACCACGGTCCCCGATCAAACGCCACGGGTGGGGAAGCGCTGTTTGTATGGTTCTGTTTTGGGAAAAAGTCAGAAATCATCTCCTTAAGACGGCGGGGGGGATGAAAATAAAAGCAGTCAGTCCCTTCCTCCACCTGAGCAAGCGGCTCCCACCACACCGAAGCTGGTTACCTGTCTGAGACCCAGGAGGAAAGGCATTCTGCAGGCTCATCCTCCGCACCAGCGCCTGGGAAGGCAGGAATTTAAAACCCCACAGTGACCATTTCCTCATCTGCTGTGGGCAGCCCGCTCCTCCGATCCTATTTAAACCAGGGCTTCCTCGGCTGGGAATGCTAAGTAAACAGGGTCCTGGGACACTGCAGGCACCCGCTGGCTCCCCCTCCTCCTCCTCCCACTCCCCGTGACATATCTCAGACGCAGCCCAGCCGGGGTGTTTGCAAGAGGGAAATGACATCAGGCCGGGCAGTTCTGAAAAAAAAAAAAAAAAAAAAAAACCAAAAAAACAAAAAACAAAAAAAGCCCTGAACCTTAAGAGAGCTGCTGGGTAACACCAGGCAGCTGGCTGCAAACGGGAGCTGCGTGCTGTTGGGCAGCGCTGCCGGTGCGGGACCCTGGCAGGGAGCCATGGAGGAGCAGAAGCGCTCTCCTCCCCGCTAACTGGGTGCTGCGAGTGGAGGGGAATCTATTAAAAACATTGGCAAGAGCTGACACCTCCTTAGTGATGATTAAATCTCGCTAAGCAAAAATAGACGTTTAATCTATTTTTGAGGAGAAAGCTAAGTTTGATGCTGCTTGCTGAACAAACAGCGCTGGGGCCCTAGGAGCAACCAGTGTGGTTCCTCCGAGTACCTCCAGACCCCGGGCACCGGGGTAAAGCCTTCACGGATCCAAAGCACTCCCGTGCCTTCTGCCTACCACCGCGGCTCCATTTTTCCTGAGCAGCTCTTACAGCACTGTTTAACTCTCGGCCCCGCCAAATACCGGCCGTCCCGCTAAAGAAACAGCACCAACCCCCCTGATTTGGGTAGGATCAGGACTGGGCCTCTCCAGCGTCAGACAGGTGATAGGAAGACATTTTAATCCACCTCTCCCCGAGGAAAACACAACTCGCCCTGACAGAAGGTTTCTCATTCTACTCGAGCTCATTTCACATTTTCATGCCAAAGGGCAATTAAGCCTTATAAACAAATTTATCATCTGGTGCCCAGGATGGCATGTCTTGTTTGTCCTCTCCCAAGCAAGGAGTACAGCAAGTTCCACAGTGGTGTAGGAGATGACACTGCAGAAGGTAATCTAAATTTAACTCCCTTTTCTACCTCCACTTTGAAAGTTCAGCAACCTCTTTTTTTCGGGCTTCTCTGCAATCAGCAGCTGTCCTCGTCGGTCAGGGGGGACCGGGACACCACCGCCACTCCCACGTGCCCCAGCAGCAGCTCCAGGGATATTTGACAGAGGGGCAATTCCCCCTGCTCTTGGCCTCTTTGGCTTTTGGAGCTCAACACATTAAAATATTTGACGAGGGAAGGAATATACTTTTTTTTTTCCCCCCACAGAGAGTTCACTGAATCCCTTTTTTAGTAGCAGTTTTAACAATAATTTCAGGACTTCAGAAGAGAGAGAGAAACCACATCTAATTCTTACAAATGCTAATTTGCAACAGCAGCAAAAAAAAAAGTTTAAAAAAAAGGAAAGAAAAAAAAAACCCAGAATGCCAGATAACTTGCAGCAGCGTCAGAAAAAGACACCCATTTTCCACATGTCAAAACCCCTCAGTGACCACTGCTGCTGCCTCCTCCCAGCCCAGCCCAGCCCAGCCCCGGGTTATTTCCCAAACGAGAATCCCACTGTGGGTGTCCTCTACACAATTAGGCTGTGAGACCATACGCAAGTATTACTTATTTTCACATCAACTTAAAGCCACCACATAAACTTGCCGTTTAAGGTAAGCACATCTCTGTTTTTCCTAAGAGAAAACAGGCACAGAAGTAATTTCCTGGAGGATACAAAACATCAGCGTTAACTAGCATCAGCCAGGCAACGGGATTTTCCAGCTTTTGTGCTCTTGGATCAAACAAACTCTCAACCTTTGCTTTTCCAATTCCATGGACAAACACTGGTGATATAAAAGGGCAGCTTTCTGTTTTAGTAATCTGTTCTGTGGCCTCACACTGTCCTTTGAAATATCCGATTTTGGCTGTTGCTATCCAGAGCCCTGGACTAGGCAGATCCCAGGGCTGAGCCAATGCAGCAATTTCTAAATCCCTACTGTCAGAAGGAATCTAACTTTAACCACCCGCCTCTCCCCCAGCACGTACTCAAAAGGCAAAGCGTCATTCCAGATCTAAGACAAGTTGTGAAGGACTATCAAAGGCAGTAACTTAGCGGAAAAGCAAAAGCATCCTAATTTATGTGTGAATTTAGCAATCCTGGAACGACTGATGCAAAAAAGGTGGTTTCCAAGCACACATTGCCACATTCGACTGCAGCAGCAGCAGCCACCCTCTCTTGCAGTCTCTGAGTGACAGTGGCCAGTAACAGAGGGGCAAAACCAAAAAAAAAGCTGGACGAGTTAGCTCATACCTTTAGAATACCCTAATCGATACACTTAGAGCCTTTTCAAAACACCTCGGTTCTCCTAATCTTCGCAATTGCTTTGGATATTCCAGCTGGTATCATTTTACCCCCTCCTCTTTTTTTTAAGTTCCTAAGTACTTGCCCCAGTGCTTTGTCTTGTGGTAATGAGTTTCACAGACAGTGGTTGTGAACAAATAGTTCCTTTCATCAGGAGTGAATTCACCACCTTCTAATCTGACTTTCATATTATTAGCAGGTGGGAACAGAAGTCCCCATCCATCTTCTCACCCATTCATTACTCTGTACCTGTTAGCTATCTTCTTATAAAAGATATCAATCTTCCCATCCTCTTAATGTAAAAATCTTTTCCCAAAGCCTTCAGCTGCTCATTGCCCGTTTCCAAAACCTTTCTAATTTTCTATTGCTCTCCGCTTGGGGGCAACCAGAGCTGAAATAATAATTATTTTAATGAAAGCAAGAGCAGCTCTAAGGCAGGCTCCTCATGGGTTTCACTTCCTTTATACAAACCTGGAGTTTAACATCTGCAAAGGCCACCCATCTATGACCAAGATATAGCAAAGAGAGCAAATACAAGTTTTTACAGTTTCTCTGTATATGAATCTCTTGAGGGCTCTGAAAAGTCAGGGCTAATGTCAGAACAGATTATGTGATCTACTTTATTTTGAAAATTTGCTTGCTTAGGCAGCCACCAACCATCCTTTTTTTGGCATGTCAGTGCAGATCCCACTACAGGATAATGGTGAGCAAGTTTTTTTTGAAAAAGAGGGAATACAGACCTCCAGGCTCTATCAGTCTGTAGTACTGCTCTCCTGAACATGCCATCTGCCCCAAACATGATGTCAAGCAAAGGATGATGCTTGACACCTTCACAAGCCCAACACACAGTGTGCCTTGTGACCTCAGATACTAGCATGCAACTGAAGGAGATGATGGAAGAAGTTGTTTGGGCCATTTTAGAGTCACTTTCCATGTTTGATGGGAGATGCTTGCAAGCAGGTTTAGTAACTCAGCAAGATACAATATCCATTTTAATACCCTCTGAGGAGACAGCTTGACCTTTAGATGATCCAGTTATGACAACACGATTGGAACAAAAATTGAAGTTGCGTAGCTCAAATGTGTCAGGCTTGAAGCACAAGGCTACTCTCACTTGCTCCATTATTAGAGTCCTAGGCAGGGAGAGGTTTTGAACAGTAAATATGGGTGGCGTGTAATATCCCCTCAATTAAACTTTAATACCATGGTTCTGCAGCTATATATATACAGGTTGGCCATAAAGTTGGAATGACATCCAATGACTCTTCCACTTGTGCACTCTGTTATTTTCATGTTGGTAACAGAAGCGTCCCTGGAGCATCAGCTATCCATTTTCATTAGTCGGCCCACAGCGCTGGGTGCTAGAACTGAGACTACATAGGTCTGTCAGGCACTCAAAACAAATGTGACAGAAGCAACTCGAATGAGGGTGACTTTCTCTTTTCCCATCCTGGGGATGGCTCTGGGAATAAAGCAAAAAAGGAAAAGAAACACACAGAAAGGCATAAAAGCAGATCTCTGTTTCTCTAGAATAAGACAACATCCAGGAACAACCAAGCTCTATCTGCCTTGACAGCAAATGTTCTAAAGGGGCTTCTTCACTAGCAAAACCAGTGTGAGACATTGGGGGATCACCAATGCTGGAACAGTGATGCAATGCTAGATCTGCCTGGAAACCATTTCTGGCTGGCCACCTGCCTGCAAAATCTGCCCACTTGTCGCCAATTCCTGAAGAGTGAAGGGCCACTGCCCCACCCTAACAGCACCACTACAAGAACACGATGACTTTCCAATGTGGGGAGCAGGTGCCCCGGGTTCACGTAACGTATAGCATTGGCCCTGTCTACAAAGAACATCATCAACACGTTCCAGAGGACAAACAGGAACAGCTCAGTCTGATAATTTCTCGGTACCTACAGGACCTAGAGTATCTACTCTATTGCTTAGGGGACACATGGTCCAAAACAAACCTTCCAGACCCACTGTGTCTATTACTACTGTATTATTTAGGAGTAGGGTAAAGTGGGTCCCCCAATTTGTGTGCAGTTCAACTACAAAGCAAGGACACTGAAGTCGCTTCCATTTAATGTTTGTCAGGCCAAAGCAACTTAATCATTGTTTAGAGAGAGCAAAGAATAACTGCAGAAAAAGACACCATACACGTTGGAACTGGCTTGTGAGCCAGTGCTGCAACCAGTCTGCTGGATCAATACATTTTAACGTGCAATGAAGCACAAGGGCTTGCAGCGGTAGGAACCTGTCCTTGGGCAGGTCCCTCTTCCCTGCAGCCTGTCACTGCTTCTGTCAGCTCAGTGGTTTAGAAGTGCAAGAAACTTTTGCAGCTTACTAAATCAAGATAAGCAAATAGGGACATTGCATTTCAGCCTCACTGCTGTCACCTGTCTTTGTCTCTGAGTAACTAGTTAATCAGGGAGGAAGCGAGTGTGAACTTCAAAACATGCTCAGTGTTGCAGAGAGCCCCAGTGGCAACAGCTCGTGCTTGATTCCAATGGAATCTTGATTCCAACTGAATCTTGAACATTAATTGTCGGCCAAGCGGACAAGTG